GATGGACATTCGAATTGTTCCCACCGTTTAGCTCTTAGGAATAATGAAGCTGTGACTATTTAGTGGAAGTTTTTGTGCGGATTTATGCCTTCGTTTCTCCTGAGTGAATGCCTAGAAGTGCAACTGCTGGGTCACGTGGGAACACCACATTTAACCTTCGGAGAGCCCTCCATCCAGACTGTTTCTAAAGTGGCTGCACTGGCTCACACTCCCCAGGGACACATGAGCTCCTTTCTCGGATTTGTCCATCTCTCTGAGCCCCTCTGCGGAGTTCTGTGCATCCCTCTCCAGCACACTCTTGTGTCTTGTTGAGTGTTTAACCTGCTCATTGAGTTTCTGATTTCAATTGTAATTGTTATTTCTGGAATTGCTTTTCAGTCATTTTCTGCAAATTTGATGTTTCTCGCTTCTCTGTCATACTCTGAAGGTCCTCTTTTCTTTCTTGAAATGTTTAGGGAAGACTTCCCACTGACAGTTGGAGAGTGTCACGATGGTTCATTCCCTGCCCCTAGAGAAGTTTATGGCTTTGTTCCTGGGGATTCTGAGGGCTGGCTCTGAAGTGCACTTTCTCCAGAGTTGCCTCTGCTTTGCCAGGCTCTGGAGGCTCCACCACCAACTGGGCCCACTTAATTTTTTTAATCCAATTTTTATTTATTTAACACCCAAAACATTTTGTATTGGGGTATTTTAACAATGTTGTGATAGTTTCAGGTGAACACTGAAGGGACTCAGCCTAACATATACATGGATCCATTCTCCCCCAAATTCCCCTCCCATCCAGGCTGGCACATAACATTGAGCAGAGTTCCCTGTGCAAGACAGTAGGTCCTTGTTGGTTATCCGTTTTAAATACAGCAGTGTGTACCTGACCTTCCCAAAGCCCTGAACTATCTCCCCTGCCCCCAGCAACCACGAGGTCGTTTTCTCTGAGTCTCTTTCTGTTCTGTAAGAAAGTTCATTTGCATCCTTTCTTTCTAGATGTCACACATAAGGGCTGTCATGTGACATTTCTCCGTCTCTGACTTCACCCAGTAGGACACTCTCTACGTTCATCACGTTGCTGCAAATGGTACCTGGGTTGACTTTAGATCACATCCTCAGGGTGAGTCTTGATGTGCAATCTGGCTTGAGACACTCATGGGGGACTTTTTTCTTCCTTTTAACTGTTTCTCGTCTACTCAGAGCCAAGGCCAACATGGGGACATCTCCCCCTTCCCACCTGCAGATACTCGGTGGGTGGATTTTTACTGTTATTTACCCACTGCGAAGGTCCTTTTTTGGAGGGTTCTCAGATTTTTGGGAGTTTCTGATCTGACTGACCTTCCTCTTTACTCAGGGAGGTTCCTGGAAGTGGAGACACCCCCAGCAAAAAGCCACCTGCAGACTGCCCTGATATACATTATCTTTTAATACGTAATGGAGAATTTCAAATATATATACACATACAAAGAATAGTATAGTGATCCCAACAAACTCATCACATGTCATTAACCTCTGGCCAGTCTCAAAGCTCATTCACCTTCTGTGTGGTTCTGAAGCAAACTCTAGAAATCATACTGTTTCATCTGAAAGTTCTTCTGTATACATTTCCAAATGATAAGAACTCTTTTCAAAATAAAGTCACAATATATGTACCCACACCTAAAATTTTAAACAGTAATTTCTTAATATCATCAGTGTTCAATTTTCTGCTATAATCAGTGTTCAAATGGTCAGTTGCCACATAACTATGAGATGGCTTTCTTATTGTTGCTGCTTTCTTATTATTTCTGGGCCTAACGAAATCCCTTCCTTTCCCAACTTTGCCATACATTAAAAAATGTTTAATTAGTATTGTTTCCTGTATTTGTATGTGTTTGTAATAAATGGAGTTCTCTGGATGTCTAGTCTGTTGTTGGTTGCTATTCAGTTGTTCAGTTGTGTCCGATTCTGCGACCCTATGGACTGCAGCACGCCAGGCTTCCCCGCCCTTCACCATCTCCCGGAGCTTGCTCAGACTCATGTCCATCGAGTCGGTGATGCCATCCAACCATCTCACCCTCTGTCACCCCTTCTCCTCCTGCCTTCAATCTTCCCCATCATCAGGGCCTTTTCTAATGAGATGGCTCTTCCCATCAGGTGGCCAAAGTATTGGAGCTTCAGATTCAGCATTAATCTTTCCAGTGAATATTCAGAATTGATTTCCTTTAGGATTGACTGGTTTGATCTCTTTACAGTCCAAGGGACTCTCAAGAGTCTTCTCCAACACCACAGTTCAAAAGCATCAATTCTTTGCATTCAGCCTTTTGTATGGTCCAACTCTCACATCCAAACATGACTACCGGAAAAACTATTTTTATTTTTAGCATCATTTTTAGGATTTGAAATAGCTCAGCTGGAATTCCATCATCTCCACTTTATTTGTTCATAGTGATGCTTCCTAAGGCCCACTTGACTTGGCACTTCAGGATGTCTGACTCTAGGTGAGTGATCGCACCATCATGGTTATCGGGGTCATTAAGATCTCTTTTGTATAGTTCTTCTTCTGTGTATTTTTGCCACCTCTTCTTAATATCTTCTACTTCTGTTAGGTCCATACCATTTCTGTCCTTTATTGTGCCCATCTTTTCATGAGGTGTTCCCTTGATATCTCTAATTTTCTCGAAGAGATCTCTAGTCTTTCCCTGTCTATTGTTTTCCTCTATATCTTTGCATTGATCACTGAGGAAGGCTTTCTTATCTCTCTTTGCTATTCTTTGGAACTCTGCATTCAGATGGGTTTATCTTTCCTTTTCTCCTTTGCCTTTTGCTTCTCTTCTTTTCACAGCTATTTGTAAGGCCTCCTCAGACAACCATTTTGACTTTTTGCATTTCTTTTTCTCGGGGATGATCACCGCCTCCTGTACAATGTTAAAAACCTCCATCCATAGTTCTTTAAGCACTCTATCAGATCTAGTCCCTTGAATCTATTTGTCACTCCCACTGTATAATCATAAAGGATTTGATTTAGGTCATACCTGAATGCTCTAGTGGGTCTTCTCTACTTTCTTCAATTTAAGTCTGAATTTTTCAATAAGGAGTTCATGATCTGAGCCATAGTCAGCTCCCAGTCTTATTTTTGCTGACTGTATAGAGCCTCTCTATCTTCAGCTCCAAAGAATATAATCAATCTGGTTTCGGTGTTGACCATCTGGTGATGTCCATGTGTAGAATCATCTCTTGTGTTGTTGGAAGACGGTGTTTGCTATGACCAGTGTGTTCTCTTGGTAAAACTGTTAGCCTTTGCCCTGCTTCATTTTGTAGTCCACGGTCAAACCTGCCTGTTACTCCATGTATCTCTTGACTTCCTACTTTTGCGTTCCAGTTCCCTATTACGAAAAAGATGTCTTTTTTTTGGTGTTAGTTCTAAAATATGAACTAGAACCTGTGCCTTAGGGGCAAGTTTTCTATCTGCTGCCAGGTTTTCTTAATTCCCAGCTCCGCCAAGTGGGGCAGGCAGGTCCTGTTATCCCCACCGGCGCAGATTAGGAAACGGAGGTCTCCAGGGGTTCCACAGCTTGCCCAGGGTCATGAGTGGGGTGGAACTTGCTCCCTGATCCAAGGGCTGGCCGGTCCTCCTCCACGCCCCTCCGTGTTGACAAGAGCTTTCCTTGGATCCCTGAGCACCTGGAGAGCCTGGCATGGCAGGATGCTGCTGCCCTCTCGTGGCTACGCGGATCACTGAAGGCCTGAGCTAGGAGCCCCTGGAGCAGGGTCCAGCCTGAACCCCTGATTCTGGAGGCCCTCAGTCTCTTCCTTGCTCCCCTCACTCCCCTGACCCTCCAGGGCCTGGGAGAGATGCTGCAGTGAAAAGGTGAAAAAAGAACATGAGTTTTTCTTTTCTTTCCTAAGAACAAAGAAGATGGAACAGCGAGCAGGCCTGATCACTCCTAGCTTTTACTTGGTGTGTGCGCCCAGTGGCTCAGTCGTGTCCGACTCTTTGTGACCCTTGGACTGTAGCCCGCCAGGCTCCTCTGTCCATGGGACTCTCCAGGCAAGAATACTGGAGTGGGTTGCCATCCTGCCATTTCCCATTCCAGTGGATCTTCCCAACCCAGGGATCAAACTTGTGTCTCCTTCATCTCCTGTACTGGCCGGCAGATTCTTTACCACTTGAGCCACCTGGAAAGCCCCAGGTTTTACTTTAACTGTTCCTAATCTGTTCTGCCCCCTAACTCTGCATAAGCTTTATTCTGCATCTACTAGCCTTTGCGCGTGCGTGTTAAGTCACTTCTGTACGACCCCATGGACTGTAGCCCGCCAGGCTCCTCTGTCCATGGGATTTTCCAGGTAAGAATACTGGAGTGGGTTCCATGCCCTCCTCCAACTATCCTTTGACTCCATGCTAATTACATCCTGTTGCTCACCTTTACAGAACTCTTTGAAGACCATCCCTTGTAGTTTTTCTCTTTTTGCATTATAGAAAGAAGGCCTCAGTACAATACACAAAAGTCAATGGACCCAACTATTACCAGACAGCCAGACCCAATTACTGGGCTACCTGACACCGGCCTATGTTTTGAAAGAATGCTAGAGGAAGAAGAATGCAAGATCCTGACACCTTTGTTCCTCATCGCCAAACCCTGACAGAGAGCCCTCATCTATATAATCCCCCAGATTCCTCATGAAAAGGAGGCACAGTTCTTGAGGCACAAACCTACTGTGTTCTCCCTTCCACCATTTGAGGATTAAAGCCGCTTTTCCACTTCCTCCAAACTGTCTCCATGTTTTTTTTTTTACTTGGTTTTCGTGGGCACACAGAAAGCCAAGATTTCAGTAGCATCAGAGAGGAGAAATAACAAGTCTGCAGCTCTGTCCTTTGTTCCCTGAGGGACCTCAGTCAAGTCACCTAACCAGCCTGGCCTCAGTCTTCCCCTCTGTAGAATGGGCATAAGTGAGATCTTCCCTCTTCAGTTAGGAGGATTTCGTGAGCAGGCAGGTGCTCCTGGAGAACCCAGAACCCTGGGCTGGAGAAGACTCACTGGTAGCTCCCTCATCCCCGCCTTCACCCCACCCCCACCCCAGAGAAAGCAGCGGGCAGCCCGCGGGGGGTACACCTCCGTGCTTGCCGGGAGTAAACACTCTCGGGGCAAAGTCTGCAGCGTTTGTTGACTGGGCGGTGGGGGCTGCTCATCAAATGTGCCCGCGCGCCCTGCCCGCGGTGAGCTTCGGTCGGAGGCTTTGGTCGGAGGCTCGCTGATAAGCAGGGAGGATGTGTGATCTCGGCCCGGGACGCGCTCGGGCAGGAGGCGCCTCCTCCCCCGCGGGCGGCGCCCCGCGCCCGGCTGCACCTGGCGCTGCGCAGGGACAAGGCCGAGCGCCGGCCCTGCCTCGCCGCCGCCTGAGGGTCTGTGTCCTCCCTGCGCCCAGCGCCCCAGCACGGGTCTCTCCCGGCTCAACACGAGACCCGGGTATCCAAGGAATCTGCGCGGGGCGGGGGTGGGGGTGTAGGTGGGGGAGGGGATAACCCCCGCCCACTCCCCCCAGAGCCTGGGGCTGCTGCTGCTTCTAACACCCCAGGGGCAGAAGGCAGAGCCTTCAGGGGACCCAGGATTCAAGACACCCCCCCCCCCACCACCAGGCACCCTCCTCCACCGCGGAGACAGACGGTGACTTCCTTCTAGAATCTGTGATCACAGCTTCTGGGGACCATCAGATCCCCACTCCGCAAGTCTGAGCGCCAGGAACGTTCCTGCACAAAGTTCCCCCCGGAACTACCCACAGGCCCCCTTCCCCTTCCACACCCCACCAGACAGCCGCTCTTGGCCCCCGGCCTGGGGGTCTCTGTCCCCTGCACACCCCGGCCTCCCATGGGAGCGCCGGCCCCTGTGGGTGCCTGTCCCAGCCCACTCTGTGACAGCTCAGCCCACCTCGCCACCGGCTCTGACAACCCGCCTCCCCCAGAGAAAGGGGACCCTCAGGCCTACAGACACCCAGGGGGAGACCATGCCAGCCGCACTGAGGGACAGGCCACAGCGCAGAGAGCAGCAGAGAGAAGAAAGAGAGTGAAGTTGCTCAGTCATGGCCGACTCTGTGACCCCATGGACTGTATGTAGCCCGCCAGGCTCCTCCGGCCATGGGATTCTCCAGGCAAGAACGCTGGAGTGGGTTGCCCTTCCTCCTCCAACTCAGGGATCGAACCCGGGGCTCCTGCGCTGCAGGCAGACTCTTTACCGCCGGAGCCACCAGGGCCTCCTGCAGCAAAGAGGGATATGCCCAATAGGGCAGCTCGTGAGCAGGGGGGACAGTCTGGGAGGGGGAAGGGGCTCAAAGGAGGGAGGCTGGGGAGGGGGCGTCGGAGAGCTGCAGAACCCTCACCAAGATGGAGGCAGCAGCAACGGCCTGCGCAGCTGGCGACCGAAGGTCACTGCAGGGCCAGGACTGAGTGAGCAGGAGGTGAGGCCAGGCGGCAGCGAGTGTAGACGGTGGGCTGGAAGGGCTTGGCAGCTGAGCCGACAGAGAGGAAGGCACGGCGGGGGATGGTGAGGTTTCACTGCCCTTTCTTAAGAAGGGAGAGTCTTGCTGGTGTTCGCAAACTGAGCAGCATGAGCTGGCCTGCGGCCAGACCTGAGGGGTCCCTGCAGGGGCCAGGACCTGGGGCAGGGGAGGTGGCCGCTGTAAGGAGGGGTAAGCCTGGCAGGGGCAGAGCCTGGAGGCAGGGTCCCTATCCTGGCCTGGTCACTGTCCAGCTGCCTGACCCCCCGCGAGCGCTGATCTCTCTCTCTAGTCTCGAGGGGGGCAGTTAAAACGGGACTTTCTGCCTCCATTCTGTCTGACGCTGGTGCGTGCTTAGTCGTTCAGTTGTAACCAATTCTTTGCGATCCCGTGGACGGTAGTCCGCCAGGCTCCTCTGTCGTGGGATTTTCTTGGCAAGAATACTGGAATGCGTTGCCATGCCCGCCTCCAGGCGATCTTCCCGACCCAGGGATCGAATCCGTATCTCCTGCATTGCAGGCAGATTCTTTACCGGAAGCCCATTTTGTCTGACATTGAAGGTCTAAAACAGAACAGTAAGTGCCCTCTCGCCCGGGGCGCCAAGCTTCGGAGGGGCCCACTCTGTCCTCCAGCTTGCCCATTCCCCACAGGAGACCCGTTCCCCGGCGACCCTCCCACCCACCACTCCCCAGCATGGGGTCCAGGCAGTGTGGGCGCCTCTCCCAGACCCCATCTCCTGCCACAGACCTCGCCCTGGGGCGAAAGTCCAGAGAGGTCCTGGGCTGGGTCTCCTGTCACCTGGCTCCAACACAGAAGAGTCCAAAAAGTTCTACCTAGCACTCCCTACCTGGTGTCACGACTGCGGATTTGTCCAGCCAACAGATAAAGAAGGAACCCACACTCTTTATTCCACAGTCTGTGGGCTGATTTATAACATTATTTTTTTATGGTTACCACCCATAATTTTATTATCTAGGTTCAAAACTCGTTAAGGTTTTGCCACATTTGCCAAAAACAAAAATATCAAAAGTATGTCACAGACAGTATGATGTGTCTCCATTAAACACTTTGGAAGCAGTCTAAGAACATTCTCTCACATAAACAGAAGAGTTTTGTTTCCTCTTAAAAAAACACTCATAATTCTTAATATCATCAGAGTTGTTTTTACAAGCATGAAATGATCCATCAGGATCTCTCTGTTGTCTCTTTTTATCCAAAATATCCCTCCACTTAAAAAAAAAAACAACAATGGCACGGGTGTGTTGACAGTGACTTATAATTTTAAGCGGCAGGCGGGGAACTGGGCCTGCCTTGGACCTGTGTCCTGGCGCCCCACATGCCTGGGGTGAGGGTCCCACAGAGGGAAACCTGGTTCCACCAATCCAAGGGTGACCGCCTGGTTCCGGAAGGCCTTGACTTGCCCAGTTTTAGCTCTGAAAGCTCTGCATCCTGAGAACCTCTCAGTTCCAGGCAGACCGAGCTGGTTGATCACCCCAGTTAGTTCCTGGCCCACCTTGAGAGTAGGAGAGAGTGCCTTCCATCCCGAGACCGGCAAGAGGGGCTTCAAGGACCCAGGCGAACAGGTGTCTCCTGCTGCTTGCTCCACGCCGGATGCATCAAAGGCCAAGGTCATCCCTGTTGCTGCCCAGCTGGCCGTGGAACTGGCCCGGTGGCTGTGTTTCCTGGATGACTGGGCAAAGGTGTGTGCCCTGGGGGGTCAGGCACCATCTAAGAAATACCTCAGGTCCCGCAAACAGCCTGAAAGAGAGAGATCAGCACTTGGAATTCCCCCGATCCTGGAGGGTCCCAGTCCCCTCCCACCCTCCCTCCTGGAGGAGGACGCCTGAGGCCCAGCTGGCCCTCCCCTGCTGTGGTTCTCTGCTGCTCGAAGCCCAGCGGAGCTGGAGGAGGGGAGAAGCCGTGACTGGGAATAAACCTTCGATTTGATCATTAAACCGGAACTGGAGTTGTAATTCCTAAGCGGACGCGGCCCCTGGGACTAGAAGGGACCTGAGGATTTAGTGGCCATGGGAGCGACCGGGGAGGTGTGGCAGCCGCCCAGGGCTCCATGCAGCTGCGGGTAAGGCCTCCACCTCGCCCCGTGGACTCCTGTGTGTTTAGCTGAGGGCCCGTGGTGTACGCGGCTCTCAACAGAAGCCGGGTGTGTGCGATCCACTTCGTGATTCCAAACAGCTCCTCAAGGTCAAAGATGAATGGCCGCCCCGGGCCCCGTGGACACATGTTCACACCCGTCCCACGGCCTGGAGGTGGCCAAACGGGGCCCTTCGCCTCCACTCGGCCTCCTCCCTGGCTCCGGGGAGCTGCCCTCTCCCGGTGCTGCTCTCTGAGCTTGGGGGGGCCCCAAACCCTCAGCCCTTGAACCTCCTTCTTCATAACAGCTCCTCCAGGATCACGGCCTCAGGTACTGAAGATTCCCATGTTTCTAAGCCCAGCCCAGCCCTCCTCCCCAAAACCCAGATCCTGGCCACTCTACTCCTTCACCGGGAAGTCTACTAGGATCTCGGGTAGATGAGTTCAAGGCAGGACTCCACACTCCTTTCGCTCACCAACACTGATGTCATAGTGAATGGCAGCCCCTCAGCTGGCCTCCTGGGCCCCTCTCCTGCCCCATACAGGAGCAGAGAGAGCCTATAACATGGAAATCAAATCTCAGGCTCCCTCTGTTCCTGGCCCTCTGATGGTCCCCCAGCTCACTTGGAGGACGTGGCTCCCAGGGCCCTGCAGAGCTGGCCTGCTCTCTATTTATTTGGTTGCACTGGGTCTTACTTGCAATATGCGAACTCTTAGTTGCAGCATCTGGGATCTAGTTCTCTGATCAGGGATTGAACCGAGGCCCACTGCATTTGGAACATGGAGTCTTAGCTACTGGACCACCAGCTAGGTCCCTCTGCTCCTCTCTGACCTTGGCTGTCTCTCTGCTTCAGCTGCTCAGGCTCCTCACTGTGCCTCAGGGCCTTTGCATGGACTTCCCTTCTTCCAGGTCCCTGCACAAATGTTCACTTTCCTAGTGAAGCCTTCCTTACCTCTGTCCCTCTTGCCCTGCTTAATTTTTTCTGGGATAGGACATGCCATAGGGCCACCTAAACACATCTGTAAGTGGCTGGATGGTAAACAGTTCAGGCTTCACACGCCACCGCCTCTGCTGTGACCACTGATCTCTGCTATTATCATACAGAATAAATCGGAGGTGATCCCTGGATAAGCCCTTACCTCTCTGACCTCAGTTTCCTTCCCTGTAAAATGGGTTTATGAAGATTAGGGACTGTGATAGATTCCTGTGTCTGCCATGACAAATGACCACCAACTGGATACTTGAAACAGCAGAAATGTCTTCTTTCAACATCTGGAGGCCGAAAGTCTGAAATCAAGGCATGGGCAGTGTTGGGCTCCCTCCAAATGCTCTAGGGAAGAACTCTTCCTCACCTCTTCCAGCTTCTGGGGGCTCCAGGTGTCCCTCAGTTTGTGGCCTCATCCCTCTGCCCTGTGCTTCCATCTTTGCACAGCCCTCTCCTCTTCTGTTCTAAGATGATGTCATTGGATTCAGGGTACCCCGGGATAATCCAGATGACCTCCTGCTCTTAAGATCTTCACTATACTTGCAAAGACCCTTTCCCCAAACCAGTTAACATTCATATGTTCCAGGATTAGGGTGTGGATGTACTTTTTGTACTTGGTTGCTCAGTCATGTCCGACTCTCTGCAACCCCATGGACTGCAGCCCACCAGGCTTCTCTGTCCATGGAATTCTAGGCAAGAATATTGGAGTGGGTTGCTGTGCCCTCCTCCATGGGATCTTCCCAACCCAGGGATCGAACCCAGGTCTCCCGCACCTGAGCCACCAGGGTAAGCCCAAGAATACTGGAGTGGGTAGCCTATCCCTTCTCCAGGGGATCTTCCTGACCCAGGAATCAAACCAGGGTCTCCTGCATTGCAGATTCTTTACCACTATTCAACTTCTAAAAACTAAGATCATGGCATCGCATAACATTTAACATACTACTTAACAAAACATAAAAAGACATTTAACATTTAACACACTAATATTAAAAAAACTAAGATCATGGCATCCGGTACCATCACTTCATGGCAAATAGATGGGGAACCAATGGAAACAATGACAGACTTTATTTTCTTGGGCTCCAAAATCACTGCAGATGGTGACTGCAGCCATGAAATTAAAAGACGCTCGCTCCTTGGAAGAAAAGCTATGATCAACCTAGACAGCATTTTAAAAAGCAGAGACATTACTTTGCTGACAAAGGTCTGTAGAGTCAAAGCTATGGTTTTTCCAGTAGTCATGTACAGATGTGAGAGTTGGACCATAAAAAAGATTGAACACTGAAGAACTGATGCTTTTGAACTGTGGTGTTGGAGAAGACTCTTGAGCATTCCCTTGGACCGTAAGGAGATCAAACCAGTCAATCCTAAAGGAAATCAGTCCTGCATATTCATTGGAAGGACTGGTGCTGAAGCTGAAGCTACAATATTTTGGCCACCTGATGGGAAGAGCCAACTCACTAGAAACAGCCTTGATGCTGGAAAAGATTGAAGGCGGGAGGAGAAGGGGACGACAGAGGATGAGATGGTTGGATGGCGTCACCGACTCGATGGAGTTTGAGCAAGCTCTGGGAGTTGGTGATGGACAGGGAAGCCTGGTGTGCTGCAGTTCGTGGGGTCGCAGCGAGTTGGACACGACTGAGTGACTGAACAACACCTCTTCAGTTTACTAGGGGCTCCCCACGTGGCTCAGTGGTAAAGAATCTGCCCACCAAAGCAGAAGGATGCAGGTTCAACCCCTGGGTTGGGAAGATCCCCTGGAGGAGAAAATAGCAACCCGCTCCAGTGCTGGGTTGGGAAGATCCCCTGTAGAAGGGATAGGCTACCCACTCCAGTATTCTGGCCTGGAGAATTACAGGCTGAGCGACTTTCACTTTCACATCACTTTCCAGTGGCAGACTGCAGTCCACGGGGTTGCAAGGACTTAGCGACAGAGCACATTCAACCTACTTCAGGTATCTTTAAAATGCTTAAAAAGGAGAATGAACTTTGAATGTTGACTCCTTCAGCTGCAGTGAAAATAAAACTGCCAAGTGGACCAGATGCTCCTGGGGCTGCCCAGGGCGTCCTCGCCAGGATGTTAGTTACAGGCAAGCCAAACCCCAGGGAGGGCTGAGGATCAGGGCCACAGAATCTAAGGGATGGATGAAAACTACTGGAGGGAGACGAGCAAGCAGGTGGTGCCTACACGAGAGGGGTGCCTGGCAATCCAGCCCCACGCCCTGTCGTGCACCCATGTCAATCATGAGTCATGTTAATGCAGGGCTTTAAAGTATTGAGAACACTGGTACAAGTCTTCTCTTCTCTTCTTTGAGGGCGGGCAGTAGTGTCATGGCGGGGAGAGGCCCTCGGGGATGGGAAGGATGGCCTGTCAGATGACGACGTTCCCACTGCACGCCTCGGGAGAATGCTCGAGGCTCCGAAGCCCGGAAATGCTGGAGCCCAGGGCACACCTCTGACCACAGCAGCCAGGCCTGCCAGGCGGGAGGGCTCGCGTGCCCAGAATAACTCTCCAGAGTCAGCATGTTCTAGCTCAGGAGGGAAACCAAAGAGGCACTTTTCCCCCAAGTGTCACGGGCTGAAATGTCATCCTCTGATGGGCCCTAAATGGACCCCAAATGAGCCCCTGTCCCCAGAAATGATTAGATCTGACAGGTGCTGAGCCCCCCTTACTTCACTGCGAGGGAACTCACATCTGAGCAAGGAATTGGGAGTGAACACTTGCAAATGCAAGACCTAAGAAAAGCTGGGTGGCGTGATGAGCTGTGACAGGCAGCCTTCTGGGGAAGTAGAAGCTTAGCACGTTCTCTGGTTGCTTCTTACATTAGTGAAGAGTTTAAAAATGACTGCCCTTATGAGGCTGGAATCCTGCAGAATCAAACAGTGATTTGATCTCATTGTTCTTTGCAAACAGCTTTCCTCGAAGCTCTGATCAGTCAGGCAACGTGGGCTCTCACTCCAATGCTTTGAGACATGGGGCACAGTCCTGTCCCCCACAGGTGGTCTCTGGTGACCCCTCCAGAGTGGTCACTGTGAGAGTCCCCTGGACTGCAAGGAGATCAAACCAGTCAAGCCTAAATGAAATGAAGCCTGAATATTCACTGGAAGGACTGATGCTGAAGCTGAAGCTCCAATACTTTGGCCACCTGATGCAAAGAACTGACTCATTAGAAAAGACCCTGGTGCTGGGAAAGATTGAAGACAGGAGGAGAAGGGGTGACAGAGGATGAGATGATTGGATGGCATCACCAACTCAATGGACATGAGTTTGAGTAAACTGCAGGAGACAGTGGAGGACAGGGAAGCCTGGTGTTGCAAAGAGTGGGACATGACTGAGTGACTGAATAAGCAGAGTCCCTAGGGGCCACCCTAGGGCCCCTTCTCTTCCTTCCCACAACCAGCACCTTTGGGGAGTCCCACTAGCTCTTCCTAAAGCACCTGGAATCCAGCCCCTTGTGAACCCCCCACCCCACCATCCAAGCTGCCATTTCTCCTGGGTGCTACTGTGGTACCCATTGCTGGCCAGTTCCCAGCATCTTCTCTTTCATCCTGTCCTCATTCAGCAGCCAGAGTGATCCTTTTATAAATATAAATCGGATCTTTTCAGTTCATTCAGTCATTCAACAAACATTTATTGAGCACGTACTGTGTCAGGCCCTGGTGGAGGCTCTGGGGGTACACGTGGAATAAAAGAAGTGAAAGTCTATTCTTGTGGAGGGAAGAAAGATAAGTAAACAGTAGTCTGTCAGATGTTGGTCAGTGCAAAGGAGGAAAATTAGGCATAGAAATGGGAGCAGGAAGTGCTGGCAAGGGTGGGTGTTGGAGGGGGTGTGGTTTGCAATCTCCAAGTGGGGTCAGGGAGGGTCTGTCTGAGGAGCTGAAGATGTGAGGGAGCAAGCCATGTGGGTAACAGGGGTAAAAACAGTTCCAGCACAGGGCCTTCCCTGGGTGTCCAGTGGTTACGAGTCTGCACTCCAATGCAGAGGCCTGGGTTCAATCCCTGGTCAGGGAACTCCATCCCACTACTGCAACTAAGAGTTCCCATAGTGCAACCAAAGGTCCCACATGTCACAAAGCAGCTAAGACCCTTGTGAGCTAAGTCATTTCAGTCGTCTCTGACTCTGTGACCCCGTGGACTGTAGCCCGCTAGGCTCCTCTGTCCATAGGATTCTCCAGGCAAGAATACTGGAGTGGATTGCCATGCCTTTCTCCAGGGATCTTCCCAACCCAGGGACTGAACCCGCGTCTCCTGCCTTAGCAGGCAGATTCTTCTCCTACTGCTCCCTGGTAGTAGCTCAGACATCCCTACTTCCCCAGGCATTGCAGCCCAACACCCTCATTCTTCACGGCATTCCTGAGTCTGTTAGTGGTGTTTTGGTTTGTTTGGATTGGTTTTAAATGTATCTATCTTCTTGTTTTTGTTTGTCTTCTTCCCTAGAATATAAACCCTAGGGGACAGAGACATTCTGCCTGAGCGCCAACTTTGTAAAGTTGTCACAAATACATGAAGAATGCCTGTATCCATGGACGGGCCTTTCTGGCGAGCTGTCCATTGCTGTCTCAGCACCTGCAAGGTAAGTGGTGTTCTCACCGTTTTATAAGAGGAGGAATCCCCCACAGAGGTTATATTTGGACTTGCCCAAGTGCACACCCTGGGCTTCCCTGATGGCTCAGAGGGTGAAGAATCTGTCTGTGATGCAGGAGACTCGTTGATGCATGGGTCAGGAAGATCCTCTGGAGAAGGAAATGGCAACCCACTCCAGTATTCTCGCCTAGGAAACCCCAAGGACAGAGGAGCTTGGTGGGCTACAGTCCAGGGAGTCATAAAGAGTAGGACACGAGTGAAGGACACACTCTCAACAAGGGCACACCTGGTTCTAGGAAGCAGCAGAACCAAAGTTTGAATTTGGGCCTATGGGTTCCAGAGTTCCTGTTGCTCCTTGCCAGGGCTTCCTGTGCCCCGCAGGGTTCAGTAGCCGAACTTGATGCACAGGTGGGCACGGGGCGGGGGTGGGGGCCGGGGAGGGGTGGTTCAGAGCCTGCCTGTTGAATGATCAAAGGTGAGGTCTGCATCCTAGAGGCCGCCTACAAGCATATTTGGGAGAACGACGTGTCTACCACTCAGTCTTCGCCTACCCTAGTTAATGTCGAGGGTGTACGTTTAGTTTAAAAGTAAACCTCAAACCCACCCCGATTCCCCTGCAGCTCCCACCTTTCGCCATCACCGCTTCTGTCCCTGCCCCGGACCCTCCTGGCGGTCGCCTTCCCGGGCCCCCTCCCCGGTGAGCACAGGTGCCGTGGGACCGCCCCGAGGAGGACCCTGCTGGGGTGGCTGCGGTCGCCGGAAAGCGCGCGCACCTGGCTCGGGGCCCCTGGCTTCCAGCCCCGAAACTGCCTGACCGCGCGTGCCCTGGGGCAGCCCTCTTCCCACACCCCGGCCCCGTGCCTCAGTTTCCCCACCGGGCGAGCCCAGTCCTGGCCGCTCTTAACAGGTGACACACCTGCTTCCGGGGCTCGATCCGGCCGCAGGCCCCGCGGGGCGCAAACCGGGCAGCCGCCCCCGCGCCCCCGAGGAGCCCCGGCGCCCGGCCCCTGGGGGCAGGGGGCGCGGGCAGAGGCGCTGGGACCCCGCGCGCGGCGGCCGCCTAGCGGCAGGCCGGCTCCGGGGGGCGCCCGCAGGAGGGCGCGGCCGGCGCGGGGGGCGCGGAGGGCGGTGGCGGCGGCGGCGGGGGGCGGAGACGCGGCTCGGCTTCCGCTCCCGCGCCTCCTCCCTCCTCCCCCGTCGTCCTGGCCCGCGGCGCCCGAGGGGGGGAGGCTGCAGGCGCCCGGAGCCGCGCGAGGAGCCCGGCAGCCGCGCCATGGAGCCCGAGTGAGCGCGGCGCGGGCCTGTCCGGCTCCGGACAACATGGAGGCGGCGCCGCCCCGGTCTCCCGCTCCTCCTCCTCCGCCGCCGCTGCTGCTGCTGCTCGCGCTCTGCTGCAGCCTGGCCCCCGCCGCGGGTAGGTGGGCGCGGGCCGGGGGGACAATGGCCCGGGCGTCCGGGAGACTCGGTTGGCCCCGCGGCCAAGTGCGTCGCGCCGCCGCCGAAACGACTTTGCAAGTTGGGGGCGAGTTGGGGCGCGCGCCGCGGGGCCCCGCCATCCCCCGCCGCGCCCGCCGCCCGGGGGCCGCGCGCGGGCCCTTTGTCTCGCCCGCCCGGGCCCCTCCCGGGGACGCCGGGCCCCGTCCCGCGCGTCCCGGGCCGGCGAGCAGGGCGCGCGGGCGCCGCCGACCCCGCCAGGTGCGACGCGGGCGGGTTCTCACCTGCCCGGGCCCTGGGGCGCGCTCGGAAGTGCGCCCGCCCCGAGCCGGCCGGGCGAGGCCGTGCGGGCACTGTAGGGACCCCGGCCCCGCGGGCAGACACGGAGCCGGGACGTTCGGCCCGGAGGCAGGCCTGGCCGCCCTGCGTCGGGAACTCTCTTCCCGAGCCTGTTTCCGATGGCCGCGCGGCCGGCCTGCGAGCTCCGGGAACTGATTTAAGTCGCAGAGAAAGTTCTGAACCCTGCGCGGGGCGGCCTGGCCTGCGGCGCTGCCCCTTTCATCTGCGTCGCTGTCGGGTTCCCAGCGGACTGACACCTGCCAGGTGTGCTCGGTCGACTCTGACCACTCATCTGGGCCGTTGGGGCCCCCAAATCGTGACACCCCGCGGGTGTCCAACCGCGGGGGTACGGCTGCGTGGGGCCGCCGCGGGGGGAGACGGGGCCCCAGCTTGCGGCGTGGGGGCCTCAGCTGTATACACACACCCCCTTTGGGAGATCGGAGCCTGGGGACCTTTCTCTCCAACTGTTGGTGTGTCCCAAGGGGTGGAGTTGAGGTCAGGAGGACTCAGGAAACGAAGCGCCTTGTGAAAAGCTACACATGTTCTTTTAATTTGGAGATTGCCATGTGGTTTTTGAAGCAAGCCTCTCTCGCTACCTAAATCATTCTCTTCCGACGTGAGTGTTTTGTTTTTCTGGAGTGTGGCTGGCCCAGTGGACCCCGGAGCGGGAGTCCTGTGCTCCCTGGGCTGCTCTTCTGCTGGTGGCAGTTGGGGGTGGGGGGCCTCGGGTCCCTTTGTCTGGGCCTCTTTAAGGCAAACAGCTGTCTCCCTGAATATTTCCAGCGAGGACACTGCGGGGAGGTGTCCTGGCCTGGCTCTGTGGTCACATTCCCGGGGCTGCGGCCCCTCCGTTGAGGTTTGGGGGGGGCGAGAAGGGGTAATTCCTCAAGTCTTGCCTCCCGCCCAGATCCCCGGAGACCCTTGTCAGTTTCAGGCTGAATTTGCCTCTCTCAGGAGTCTGTTTACATTCTTGGCCCGTCTGATACCAGCAAAAAAACAATGACAGTATCTGGGTAGTTCAGGCCGACACTACTGCTTCTCTTTCCGGAAATGCCTGGATCACGGAGGCTAAAGAGTTTTTTTTTTGAGGGGGGGGAGATGTTTGTTTTAAAGGTGGGGTTACTCTGCCGGCAGAGTAGCTTTTCACTGCGTTGCAGTTTCGGATTTCCTGGACCTTGGGGTGCTGGACTGGAGTGCCTGTCCTGCGGTTCGAGCCCCCCGAGGAGAAGGATCACATTTGTGGAGCTCGGTTGCGTAGGAGGCAAAAAATAGAGTTGATTATTTTAACATTAAGGAAGCATGTCAACACGAGGTTTTTAGAGCCCCGGCTAATGTGGTAATCTGGTCCTAAAATGGAAGGAGAGGGAGGGAACTTTCTGCAGAAACTATTTTGACTGCTCTTGACATGTCATGTCCCTGATTTTTGTGTTAGATTTACGCCACAGTCTAGAGTGGAGCCAGTAAGTTGGTAGCTAATTATTTTTCCTGATTGCTTCCTGTTGTAATTTGAAGCGGTGAGCCCAAGGAAATGCCTTTGTTCGAGTGGTCCTGGAGTTGGGAGTGGTCGGCCCCAGCTCCAGGCCGGGGTCTCTCCCTTTTGGCCCCACTGCACTGGCCCCAGGACCATCCCCGCGGGTAGGGGTGGGGGCGGTTCCTGCAGATGCTTACTGCCTGGCCCGCAGGTGGGCATCCAGTTAACTAACTGTGGGGAGTCCATGGAGAGTCCCCTGGCAGGACTCTCTGCTTCCCAAAGCGGGGGCCCACGTGCCTGTAACCCTCCCGTGCAGTTCCAAGAATTTACCCAGTCCACCCGCACGTCCCAGCATATGCTGTGGCCATCCCGTCGTATTTGGAACCCGTTTAATTTCAGCTGCGCTGTGTCATTGCTCAGGCATTTAGCAGAATTTGCTCACGGGGTGGTGGGGGAGTGTAGTTAGTTAGGTGAGGATTTCCTGTCCTGCCACGTGGGCTTGCCAGGGCTAAGGTCGGGGGCCCTGGGGGTCAGACCCCTTGGGTCTAGAGCAAGGGTCCCCAACCTCCGGGATCTAATACCTGTTAATCTGAGGTGGAGTTGATGCAATAATAATAAAAGAAATAAAGTGGCCAGTTAATGTAAAGCATTTGAATCATCCCCATACCATAATTTTCCCCCACCCGCCTGGTCTGTGGAAAAATTGTCTTCCATGCTGTCGGTTTCTGGTACCACAAAGGTTGGGGACCACTGGTCTGGAAGCTCAGTGGCTGTCTGACTTTGGATATCTTGCTTAGCTTCTGTGTATCCTGTGTCCCCACCTGGTGGCCTCCCCCAGTCAGGAGTGTCGCATCCTGCCTGCGAAACCCTTAGCACATCCCTGGCCTAGGGGAGGAACTGTTGGTGGCAGAGCTGTGGGGCCTGTTGGCTAATAAGGTCCTTGATCTTTCTGGCCTGGAAGGTCTGAAAGCTCTTATCACACAGTCTGGATTTTCCTCCTGTGTGGGACCTTGAACATCCCATCCACTGTCTGACTTGTTTTTTGCTGCAGCGCTGGGTGAAGGGTGTGGTGGTGAGCTGAGCTGAGCCTTGATTGTGGGGGGCGCTTGGGCAGTTGACTTCACCTTCCTGTGTCTCAGTTTTCTCTTCTGTAAAATGGGCATAACAGTACTTCCTGCCAGTAGGTCAGGGCGTTGACACATGCCTGGCACTTGTATCATTGCTTTTATTGATGCTGTTACTGTTGGTACCTGCTGAAGCGCTGGGGATAGGATGGGGCAGAATGGCGGAGGAGGCCCGGGCCTTTGTTGTCAGGGTGTCTGGTTGACAGGGAGGCAGGGAGAAGCTGACTGTGCAGCTCTGGGGGCGGTGGGCTCCGTCCCAGGACCCTGTCCTCAGAGATCCGGTGGTCTCTGCTGAAAGAGGCCAGATCACGCTGCAGAGTCTGGATGTGGTCCAGAAGGCACTGGAAGCTTCCGGAGACTTTAGCTGGGGGGAGGGAGATAGGAAACGCAGGGGAAAGGTGTTGAATTGATCTTTTTTTTTTCTTTTTTTAAATTGAGGTGAAAATCATGTCACAGAAAACTAATGATTTTAAAGAAGACAATTCAGTGGTACATTCGCAGTGGTATACAAGCACCCCCTTCTGTCAAAATACAAAACATTTCCATCGGCCCAGAATAAAACCCTGCACCCTTTAAACTTCCCACCCCTCTGCCCCAGGTCTCTATGGCGTTGCCTGTTCTGGATACTTAGTCCTCAGGGACTCACAGGCTGGGTTGCCTGTCGCCTCTGGCTTCATAATTAGCGGAATGCTTTCGAGGTGTGTCCACGCTGTAGTGTGGGACAGTGCTCTGCTCCTTTCATGGCTGGTCAACCTTCCGTTGCGTGGACAGGGCACATCTGCTCATCCATCCACCTGCTGATGGGCTGACCTTGCGTGGGTGCTTCTCCCAGCAGGCACGGGCTAGGAGCCCATTGTCCCCGTGGGGTTTGGACAGCGGAGGCTGTTTAGAGCTGGGCTGGGGACGTGAGCACATTAGCTTCAGAGATGGGAGAGCCCGTGGTGAAGGGAGCTTGGCTGGGGGACAGACTGAGGGCCAGTGCTGGCCTCTGGTGGGGTGAGGGACCCTGGGAGGGGCCCTGGTGGACTTAATGCTTCAATATCACAGAAGCCCTGGAAGGAGCTGGACATTTTTGGCTTACAAGGCCTCTGGGATGGTCACACGCTCTCAGAATGGGGTGGCTCTGATGGGAGTGGGGGCTGCGTCCAGCCCCTTCCTCTGCCGGGCCCGGGACATATTTGTGCAGGAAGCAGCAGGCTGTCCACCCTGCGGGCGCCCCAGGAACACTGCGGGTCAGAGCGCTGCTGATGTGGAGGCCGATGGGGACAGCAGTGACCCGGAAAGCTGGCCCCGGGGCCCCTCCCCTGCTGTGGGCTGCTGTCCACTTCCTCTCCAGCTTGGGAAGTGGTTTGTTAGCTCTGGGACTCAGTTTCCTCATCTGCAAAATGGGGAGGATGGCATGTGTTTTTTGGGGGTGCTGGCGGGGGTTCAGGAAGGCAGAGTCTACGAGGAGGAAGCCGCCTTCCAGACGGTCCATCATGGGAAGGACACGGTGCAGGGGGAGTCCTGTTCCTTTTTGTTAAGCTGTTTTTGGTTTGTTTTTTTTTTACATAGTGAAAAAGTTTATTTTTAGAATTAGCCAGCTGGACTCAGTTTAGATGATCCCAATTTTGTCGGCAGCATCCAAAGCATCATAGCCAGGAGCCAGTGGAACATAGGCCGCCTTCTGCCTATCAGGCCTGATCAGAGTATTGGTTGACTGTAGCCACGTCGGTGTCATAGAGCTTCTTCGCAGCCTGTTTAATTCGGTGCTCATTGGCCTTGATGTCCGCAGTGAGTTCTGTTCTCTTCATGGCTGACTTCGTGGCGAGGGGGAGTCTGATGATGGTACAGCGGTCAAGGTTGCTTCTCCTAGGGGCGCTCTTCCGAGGATATTTGGGCTGCCTCCTGAGCCTGGGCAGCCGGAA